TGTAAAAACTACGAAATCCCGAGACTGTGACGCGCGTCACGATCTCAAAGTTCAGCACTTTTTTTATATGAAGTATTATAAGGCATGATTGTTGTAATCTGGTGTGACAGATGTCTGTATTAAGTAATTTGCGTAACCGATCAACCGATAAATCAGATCAGTTTCGATTTATATTACCCCATCTCTTTTTTTTCTACGTTCCGTACAACTTGTGCACCAAACAACATGCCTGATCCACTTTCAATTCTAAAAAGAGAAATAAAGCGCCTTAGCTTCGTTTCAAACGAAAAAATAAGTTTATTTGGTTACTTCACCGGAAATGAAAAGAATCAAATTGACGCGTTATCTCTCCTTAATGACTGTGATAATGATGAAGAAAAGCGTAATTATTTGAGGTCTCTGATCCCCCCACCTGGTACGTTTCTTGAGACATAAGTTAATGTTGCTTAAACTCTCGTTTTCTGTCATAATACCGAATACTTATTCTTGTGCTTTTCTTTCCTGCTTCTTATCGTCAAACCCGCCCAAAAAACACATTCACGTTATCGTAGAGCAACCCGGTGCTGGTAAGTGAGTCGTAATAAGTTTTTCGATGCGAGTGAACTATCCTGACTTGATTTTTTGATATCCATTGCTTCTAATTAACCTTTTCCTTTATTAAACTATATATGCAGGTTTGGCTACATTGAAAAATCTTGATGACAAAATGGATCTTATTAGATCTGAATTAGGAAACGTTTATGAATCATCCGCTCGTCTAGAAATTGCAAAAATAAACGGTTCCCATTATTCCTCCAAGTTTGAAGTGTATGATCTAAATGGTCTTGCACGACTTTCTTTACCACGAAAACAATTCCCCAATGAAAAACCAAAGTACGAATCTTCAATGTATATTCAAGCAAGTCGTGCTGACAAAATTTCAAATTATATTTATGTAAGTGAATATAACTATTATGAGATGGTTTTTGCACATGGTTCTTATTTACCATAATTTTTTGCACTTCTTGAACAGAATAAAAAAATGAAAATGAAACTTAAAGAATCAATATTATATATTCGTTCATTACCTCAAAACAAAAATTTTATTAAAAGTCTCAATACCCTCGCTGACAGAGCGGAAAAGGCTCTAAATGGCTGGGAAGCTCATGAAAGGAGTAAGTTTATTTAGACTAAAGTTTGATAGTAAATCAAAATTTAACTTAATTTTGCCAATTAGAATCTACCAGTTCGGAAAATCGTCTATATCTCGCAAATACAAAATTCTTGGGTGTTATGCTGATCACTTCGTATATCATGGATCCAAAAATAGCTATAGAGAACAATCATGTATTTATATATACACTTTTGAGAGTGTAATTTGAAATTGTTATAATATACTGACTCTTGTTTGTTATATATAATTTTTTAGGCACCATTCGACGAAGTTCTTGAATTGGACATTCGTGGAAGGCCAACAAGTTATCTTGATATGAAAAATGTTTCTATCGAGATAGGGGAAATCAAGTTAACGACCAAGAACCTACTTCATGGTTACCGACAACTATTGATTAGACTTGCAATACTTGGATTCGCTATTGAAGCGTTGAACAGTAAAGGTGACGAAGTAGTTGATTATAGGTGCGATTTAGTCGGAATATTATACGTCCCGAAAGTCCCTTCCGTTATTAATATTCCAAGTGAATGGGAAAGCGGTATTCAATTTCCCAAAGGTTCCAACCACACTATAAGAATTGTCGCAGTAGGTGATAAACCATGAAACTGCCTAACGTTAAATGCAATTAAATTGTAACATATAGATCTTCTATTGCTTAATTATTTTCTACTAATGTAATAGTTATAAATTGCTAATTATTTTCATTGTTTTCTATTAATGTAACAGTTAGCTTTTTTATTGTATTTATCAAGAGTAAAAAATGTAAAAAGTCACAACTATATGTAAAAGTAAAGCATCGATTAAATCATCCTTTAAAGCTACATTTTATTGGGAGAGGAAGAAATCCCTTGTTCTCATATATATTCCCAGTAGTTATAAATTTTTTTTATTAACATCATGTAACGCAATAGCCGTAAGGGCTTCACAAAATTAGTTGTTCGCAATGCTATTGAAATCAAATCCGATCCAGAATCAATTATCAAGACCGCGTTAGAGCATTTCACATACTTAAAATTTCGAAATTGATAATTATAATTTTGCATTAGCTCAGCCGTGGGATTCATTATGCCCTATCTGCGATGGAAAACATGGGAATTATGGATTACATGGCGAATGGTATAGAAATGGAACAGAATATTGTAGCAATAAACTCAAGTTCGCGATTGTGGCTTAGACCGGTCATGTGAGATCAATCACCTGAAAAATTGCATAGTATGAGATTAAGATATTTTTTTTTAGCTAAATCAAAATCAGCAAATTAATAGACGACGATCATAGCATCCGGGAGTGACGGTTCCGCAGTATTACGTTTCGCAAAATCGATCTACGATTTGTTAATTAACCTCTAATCCATGATGTGGCAAAGTAAAATTTCCCAACTGCCAAAGCTATTCCGGCTTCCTGTGATCCAAATACTTCACACTTGGGCTTGTTTTGAAGCTCTCGATATTCTGCATCTGGACGAACTAAGTTGGTGTTTCTATGACTTCTGGATCAGGTTTCGTAGACGAATGAAGTTTCAATACTCATATAGTATTAATAATACATTTTGGGACTCACTGGGTAGCCATGAATTCTTATATAACAACCTATCGATTTCTCACCTCCTTTAGGTTCCCAGTACCGGAAACTAGTATTTTGTAGGTTACCAGGTCACCAACATTTCACACGCCACTTTGGCAATGTGGTCCTCTCCAAGATCTTTCGTGGTTATATCTAAAATAATTGACCTTACATTTCTCGAAATAACTCGGCATCCAGTGATGGATTTTCACGAAACTTGAGATGATAGATGTTCAGAGCCGGCCGAATCCAGTCGTTCAATCCTCATCTTATTTGGATCATTGGTTGACAAGCTATTCGCGTTCCAAGATCGTTATGGCAAATCGGACTATCTCTCGATCTGCTTTTCCCTTTTCTTGGCAAATTTCGAATGAATATGACCGGAGGAAGAAAAAAAAAGTCTCGACCAAAGGTGGATGTAGAGAAGAAGCCGGCGATGAAGAAACAGCGGGTTCAAGGGTTTTTTGAAAATAATCTCGTTTAATAGTATAGTGATGATATGCACCCAGATAAAGTCCCAGATATTGTATTTATTTTTAGCGATCCCTTTAGGACCAGGCTCAATGTAATGCAAATAAAAATGTTTAGGGTACTAAGTGACCCGAGCAATATAGTCAAATATAAATATATTTTTTTTCTTGTGTGGGAGGTGATTGGTGTGATTCCTCTGGAATCTACATTCTAATTTTTTATTGCTCAAGCGTATATGCATATTAATACAGGGTAATTTAGGAAATCTGGTATTGGATATTAAGACTTTCATGTTTTGCGACGATCGTAGCGATGAACTGCGGAGAAATTTTATTTATAAAAATATTGGATATGGCGGTGGTGTCTCGCATACGTTTTGTATTTGATCATGTCTTTAAACAGTCTTAAGAATCTTGCTTATAACATCTTAAAAAATCTCAAGGATGAATCAGTTAGAGACATGGAAGTTCCGGAGCTGGGACCATGTTCAGAGTGTAATAACGAGATCCTAATGCTTCCTATCAAGGCGTTCACGGTACTTAGCTGTGGCCATGTTTTTCATAGGGAATGTATCGAGAAAATTTTTTTACTTACTCAACAAAACAACTGCCCCATCGATAATTGTACCACGATCGTTAATCCCGTGGTCACCGAACGGAGATTTTCTATGTCGTCTCAATCAAGTACTTCATCAATAGTTAAGAGAATGAACAACCAACTTCAGATGGATTCACCAGTAATCCAAGAAGAGGAGAGGCTGACCCGGGTTCAAGGAATGGAAGTGGATGAAGAGGTCAATGAAGAAGAATTAGAAATCCAACCCGATAATCAAAACTCTACGCCCTCTAGCAGTAAAAAACGGACTAACGAGGGCGAAGATGATGAGCCACAAGCCCCTGCTTCGCGTTCATCCATCGAAAAACTACCTAAGAAGAAGGCTAAGAAACTGATTAGAAGAGAAGATTCGCCCATCTTAAAAAAGTTAATCAAGGAATTATCTGCTCCTATTCCACAGCAAATTTCTTCCGATAGTACTATTTCTTTGCAGACGTTCCCCGATATGGATATTGACTCGGTTAATTTTCGTGAATTAAATGACAGGATCATCGAAGCCGAAGATGATAATAAAAAAACCATTCTAGAATTACTGTGCCACGTTTCTTCTTAGCTGTTCACACTTGCTCCAATAAAATAGCAATACGAAAATCATAAACTCGGCGCTAATTTTTGTATCACCGTTTATTTAAGACCTTTGTGGCTGTGTCCCAAAATATTACTTTACTGGCAAGGATGGCATTTCTAAGAAAACTCGTTCAATCTCACTCTTTTCACTTTCCACTCTCTCGCCTCTTTCCTCGGTTCCTATCAGCTGTGCCATCTTCGAAACCTTTATCAATAATTTCAACAGGATCGTTTGATATTTTGAGGACGGGAAATTGTTATTATTTAGATAAGACTCACTTCATTCCTAAAATAGAGGCTCTCGGTGCTCCTGCCATCCTTTCCCTACGTCCTCGTCGTTTCGGAAAGACACTATTCCTCTCTACTTTGTCCTCTTACTATGATGTAAAGAACAGAGAACGATTTAAGCAATTATTCCAAGATCTATATATCGGAAAAAATCCTACACCATTAGCGTCTGAGTTCCTCGTTCTCAAACTCAATTTTTCTGGGCTTCGCACTAACGGATTGTACGAAATCTTTGAAGTGAACTTTCACAAAACTTTGAATACGAGTATGAAAAAGTTTATGTCCCGATATGAACAAGAGTTAGGAAATCATCATTTCCGAGTTGCTGGCGAAAAAGATGCTTTGGTGAATTTCAGGATGTTACTGGACGCGGTGGAATTGAGTGATAAAAAGGTATTTATCCTTCATTTAGTCATAATCTCTATTCAAAAAGTACTAAGCTAGTATTTTTAGCTCTATATTTACATCGATGAATACGATGGTAGTATGAACGAAGCCCTTAAAAACAAAACACTCTTCCAAGCTCTCACCAATCATCACAAAAACGAAGGTGACTCCAAAATCGCATTAATGGAAAATTCGTTTAAACAATTCTTCAGTATATTGAAGACTGCTTGTGATGAAGGCATAGCTCGTGTTTTCCTAACTGGTGTGACTCCTGTCATTATGGCTGAATTCACCTCGGGTTTTAACATTTCGGAAGATTTGACGCTAGAAGAAGAATTTTGGGACTTGTATGGATTCAAGAAATCAGAAGTTGAGTTTCTCTTGGATAAGGCTTTTGGAAATAATTTATCAGATAATATTAAAAAGGAAATAATGTCATGGTTAAAAGAGGAAAACAATGGATATTTTTTTCACCGTAATCAACCTGAAGGGATTTTCAATACTGCACGTGTCATGTACTGTATCAGGAAGTTGATGAAACAAAAGAAAAAATTGGATGATAGTTGGGATTCTTCAGTCATCCTTAATACACTTCTTAATTTCCCCCCCGACCCGCAAACATTGCCCGCTCAAACAACATTGGACTTAATTGTTAACAATCCCCTTGGAAAATCCATCCTTACTGAAGCACTCAGTCGAAGTCCTCTCAATTCTACAGATGGCATAGAACAACGATTTCGACTCACTAATATTCGCGAGCTAGTAACTGATCGTACCCCATTATTATCATTCATGTTCTATACTGGAGCCATCACATATCAACCAAACACATCACCCGCATCATTACAACACAATTTTCGAATACCAAATCGTGTTGCTGAGAGGGAGTTTATCACAGAGGCGCTTAAGATTTATGATTGGCAAAAGGAGGATTTAATACCTGTACGGGATTCTTTACAGATTTTGGAGGCAAAATATGACATTGAACCTCTTTGCCGATTTATAGAAGGAGTTTTACTAAAGCCATTAAAGGACAATAGTATTAAGCATTCAAATGAAGAGGCGTTGAAACAAGCTTTTATGGATACTTTAATTCTCACTATTCGTGCGGACATCGAGCCAGAATTTCAGGTGTATTCTCAGAGCTCGAATTTTGGTGGAAAAGCAATTGATTTAGTGAAGACAAGCACCGGAAAAATGATAGCAATTGAATTTGATAATATCAAGATGGAGAATGTTAAATTGGACGGAGCTCGAGGCAGTTGGCAGAAAGCAACTGAGGTTTCACGATCATTGTTGGAAAAATCAGAGGATGAAATTTTAAGCCTTGAAATTAAAGATATATACCGGCCAAATCAAAAGACAGTTCGCGAAGCTTTGGAATCGAAGATTAAAAATAAAAGCAACGAGTATTTAGATTCGTTAAAAAAACAACACAATGTAGAGTTGAGCTGTATGTTTATTGTTTTGAGAGTAGGCTTGCATCGTCTAATTAGCAGGAGGGTTTATTGTGTTGATGAATAATTTATAGATATTAAACACAGGATTACAAAATAAGCTTATGGTTTTTTAATTTTGTGTATGCGTGTGTGGTGTAGGATGTATGATTTGTATTCATCAGAAAAATAAAACTATATTGATAATTCATGTACATAAATACGATCACGTGTCATAATTTTTTATCCGAATTTCACAATTGATATGCGGTTATACATTTTAAATACATTAACGGATGTACTATGTGAAAGTTATTATTATGCAATTACTATATATATTGCTTAATAATGTATAATTATCATCATGCAATCCAAAACCGATTTATTGAGTTGAGGATCTTGGAGCTGAGATAGAAACGGATCCGATCCTGAGTGGAAGAATTGGAAGTAGAGTTAGTAGAGTTAGAGTTATTAATTGTGACGTTTCCTAAGTAAAAGTTTTAAAAAGGGTAACGGTCGAAAGACATGTCCCATATCAATCGACTCTAAATTTTCACTAGATTTTATCTCTTTCAGTATTCACTAGCCTTTCCACAATCAGGGAACACAAATATATCATTTCTAAAAAGATCTTGACTGAAAAATATATAGGAAGAACTGGTTTAAAACATCTTTCGAGCATGAAGTAAATGGATGATTAAAAATTCTTTGCCGAGGTCAAGTTCGGCTTTGCTAAAGTTTAATATTAGCTATAACTGAGTATAAAGTCCCACTGGGTCAAATGTATTTTAAATAAATCATGTCCTACATGAAAATTGTTATCGAATATGCAATCCAAACTTGATTTTATTGAAATAACGTGTCGTCAAACTCCTTTATCAGGTACCATTATTCATATATTCCCAACGAAATCCTCCAGCATGAGCCTGAAGCTCTTGGCATACCTTCCAGATATTATTAATTCCAGTAACACGTCGTGCTTCAGCTATTGATGGAAATTCTTGGAAAGATACATCATCAAAAATCTGCTTGACAGCAACGTTGGTATCCAAGCCCAAGACGTACAGCATGTTGAGTGTTTTCTTTCCGTGTACACCATTCGAGATTGGATGCGTGATTGTTGGTAGGATTCCCGTCAATATGATTTACATATTCTTTTCCTTCTTCTTTAGGACAAAATGCTAGCGATGAACAAGATATCCCTCTCGAGCGATTTTTCGATAACCTACGTATATGCAATGAACCTTGGGTGATTTCACCATTTGTTAACTGAATTCTTCTGAGAGATGAAACTCTGAATTTTCGCGAATCAAGCTCTATTTCTCTCCATTCCTCGTTTGGACCGGGTTCTATGTGATCTTCATAATACATCCAACGCCAGCCACCAGAAGTTTTTTGCTTCCCACTACAACATTCTGAAATGCAAGTTTCTGAAATTTTGAGTGTATTACTGGCAAGACGGATAGAATCCCAAATCTGAACAACATTTCCGTCTAATGTTTTCTGCACAATTTTTCTGGATCCGATACGGCCGTGATTTGGGAATACCCTACGTTCGGCATTCTCTTTAGGAGTTAACCATTCCAAATTATCAGCTCGATTATCATGTTTGATACCATTGATATGATTAACATGGGGCTTATTCTCTGGGTTAGGGATAAATGCTCGCGCAACTAAAATATGAACAGCGATATTTTTATAAACATTATCAATTTTTAATCCCATTCGTATGTAACCGCTTCTTTTGTCTAAGTATCATACCTTTTCGGTTCTTGATGCGTCCAATATTGGAAACTAGTATGTTAGAAGCAGTTGTTACTGGTAACCAAACTTCCATTATGATGTCTGTTATTATCATCATATCTACTTTTTAAATTTAGATCGCAAAGCCCCAGAGATCATAAAATTTCACACATACAGTCCTAAATTGGATGAAATCGAATTGTCTTTGGAGAAGCATTGTTTGACCATTATATAGTGATAATACGTCTAATTCTCTAATTAATGATAAAATTCGTGAGTATTTTCCGGACCAAGATAAAACTTCGGAGGCTAATCTTAGAAAAAGGAAGGAAAGGTAATAAAGATCTTTAAACTTTTTGATGGGTTGGAGGGGTGGATAAGATAAATTGTATTAATTCTTTTTCTGCGTCGACTATTTCGAGGTTGGGCGTGGAGGATATTGACTATGTAATAGCCAGTGAAATTTACTGCTCACACCTGCCGAAGTTTTTCCATATTTTAATATATTCGAAACCTGTATGCTTATCGTGCAATCCGCTTTATCTTAATTTTTACTTAGCTGGCCGGTTAAAGAAAAAAATCCGAAATCTGATTGGCGGTCATCCCATGATTTGAGAAACATGGAACTGGCAGGGAGCCAAAGTGATTCCTGTGATACGATATACGTCATGGATCTGAAAATAATTTAGCCGTTATATTATCTCAGAACTAATTTAACCGAATTATAATATCAGGAAAATTCCAGAGATCTACAAACCGATTTACATGCATGTGAATATGCATATAGCCAGATGTAGACCTTATATAAACCCTCGATATACTTGTAAATGAATAAAAAAATGAATCTGATATTTTATTATAATATACTTGATACAAACTGCTATAATGCTAAATATTCACTAAAAATTGCTATAAGTCTTATTTATTGTCCATTATCACATATAATCATCAAATATGCCTGGACTAATGGTTAAGATCATTTTAGATAATATTTATAATAAAGCTGTACCTAAACCTATCAATCTTCATCCTGGATATGATATGGAACATGTTGTTAACTATTATCATGGCTATTTAAACGAATGGATTAAAGAAGTGGTTGAAATAGAAAAGCAATATGATTATTTGTCTATCATTAGACCTCATGAAACATCACAGCAATTGGCTAATTGTGTAAGAGGTTCTCTTCAAGAATTACTTTCTAAGCGAGAATATAGTTTATATCATATGTATAGCCTATTTGCTTCATTCAGGCAAGTAGAATCTAAAACATACCGCGTTAATGATGAGCTATATGAAGATTACTTTGGCTATTGTAGACCTAGTGTTCATAAAAGTCAGATGGCTATCTGCTTTAAATGCTGGCAATTGATAAAAATTACCAAAGTAAAACCAAGAAAGGTATATTATGATGGATAGCGCAGATGGGGCTATGAAATTGAGTCTGAAGATTTGATGAAGAATTATTGGGATTGCTCTTGCTTCAAGGCTGAGAGCAAAGATGAATCATACTTCATAGTTAAGGCCTATTTATTGACTCATCCTCCTTTGCCACCAACTCCTTATCGATATTTGGAAGGTTTTTTTAGAAAACACATGACAAGTGAAATATTTATCTCATCTCGGTATGCAAAACAAAATAACTTGTTACCATTCGCATATCATCTAATCAACCAAAAGATATTATGTTAAGATTGAGAAATGGGGTAGAAATCACGATTGTTTAACTGGACGACTGACTGATTTTGAGAAATGTTTTAAATATAGACCATTATTTTATTGATATATAACTTATTCATACATTTTTTTTCAAATGAATATGAGAAAAAGAGAAGGAAGTTTAATGAAGCAATCATGGGGGTTCTTGATTCCTAAATACTATGTGAAGCGCCTTACGACTAATTATAGCTTTGAAATTTCTATGCAACAGTTATCCAGCGAGCTTACAGGAATTATAAGAAGAGACCTGAATCTTTAGCAAAACAAGTTTGGGAGGTAGTGAGGAATGATGGTATTCCTGACAGGTAGAAGTATTTAGGTATTATTCCTTGTGATAAGGCTTATTATTATATTAATGGAGAACTAATAAAATTTAACTGGAAAAGTGATTATTTTAACATGCTATATAATCATATCCTTTATTCTCCTATAACTTGGGCGGAAGAGAAAAAAAATCAATTATTATACTGATTAGGTTGGATACTTTTTGCTCGTGCTAGAAAAACATTACAACAATAAGTTATATACCAAAGTGGTATACCACAATAAAATAGATACAAAATTCTGAATATTATCTTGATACTAAAAAAGTCCAGTTAGTACACTAGTAGTCAGAATGGAAATGTTAGCGCAACTCAATTTGTATATTAATATCCTGCTTAACAGTAATTGGTGGAATAGAGATAAAGCATTCTGAGAACGTCTGAGCCAGCTCAAAATGATTCTTAATACCATATCTAGTATTATTTTATAAAATAAAGCTAATCCATAAAAATATATTACTTGCAGGAGAAAACTATCTAGAGATTTTTAAAATACGATCAAAGTGATACATAAATAAAATTGGTCCTATATATGGAAATGTATTATATTAGCTTCATATTTGCTTACGTCTTACAAACAGCCAATGTATGTAGACATATGTGACAGCTATTAAGGTGCTAAAGCATAAATAAACATATTTCTAATCCTCGTTAAAGCTTGTGAAATGCATATATGATGTAATAGTGATACACATAAGAAATTGACCCCCAAAACATTTCGAAAAAAAAATCTATATAAATTACCCCTAATATCTTTCTAAAGTCAAGATCTTCAATGCAAATCCTACATACCCTTATTCTCGAACATAACATTTTTGGCATAAAAGTCATTTGCATATTCTTCTGCTTCAACCCTCAGACCCAGAGAGATGTGAATGAGAAAATTACAAATATTATAAAGGGCAGTATAGTGAAATTGTTACGCCTTTACATTATTTTTTTTTACTTTGCTTAATAAGCTTTATACTAATATTTATCTTATATTTTATTAAAATATAGAAGAATTCCTTTTAACAAGAGAACCCCTTGATATTGTTATAATTTCCACAGTGCTATTTGTACAAGTGGAACAGGGTGAATGGACGGCGTTCTCAAAAATGAGGTGAAGAACTTTGAAAATGTTCTGGAGCAAGTATTAGAACAAGTCCCCTCAGAGGATATCGAGTGGACAAAGAAGCTTCAAAGTTTTGGTACTGAAAAAAAATTGGCAAAACAGGTAAGACAAATGAATTATTTTTATGATAAATATATAGATATGATGATTGGTATTTTTTAGGTTTTCTTGGCATATATATTAGTGAATGTGCTGTATTCAACATGATTCTATCACTTTCGCATGGTAGTAACTAGTAATATATGTTTAGCGAGCGTGCTTTTTGGCTGATCTACTGCTAGCATTTTGATAATATATGAAAACGAAAACCTAATCTGATCCCGCGAAGTGATATTTAGTTTAATTTATCAAATTAACATTGAGCCTAAACTAAAGATAACTATATTTTAGGTGGAGACTGCATTTGAAGATTTATGCTCGCTCACAGGAATGAAAGCTTTAGTAATTGATGCTGAAACATGGTCTGAAGATGCCAATGCAAACCTATAACTTTTAAAACGTGATGTTGAACAGGTCATAAATAATAGTTCTGGTTATGAAAAAACTATGTGGGAAAGATTTGAGACAGAATTGGAAGAAGTTGATATTGAAAGCCTTGGATTTTACCATTCTCTATATTCTGGAGTTCTAGATGTTAAATCGGAACCTTTCACAAAGATGATATTAAACTTAAACTATTTGTCGTTAAGTTAACAAAGATTATTTGCTAGCAGGGAGTTTAAGTACGTCTAAACTATGAAAGAAATAAACACGAATAGTTAAATTGAAGGG